AAGAGTTCATTGCAAAACAAAAATAATCACTGAGGATAGAGGATTATCAAACCTAGGAATTTTCAACGCTATAGATAGGAAATAACTATATAGATAGGAAATTCAAGTTCAGCTTAAAAAAACACACAACAAAACCAGTCTCTTTAACAAATTAAACTATATGCTTAACAGTGTTATTTTACAAATAAAATTCGTTATATGTGATGTTACTTTTCTAACTTTATATATCTGTAATCTCCCCTTTTACTGTAGAAAGTCAATCCTTGAAATGGAAAATTCAATGATTTGTGTCCATTAAGCTGTCTAAGATATATAGTTAATTTTATCAAAATCTATTTTCTTTTAACTTTTTTAAAATTGATTTTAGAGAGAGAGGAAGAGGGAGAGAGATAGAAACATTGATGAGAGAGAACATTGATTGACAGCCTCCTGCATGTTCCCTATTGGGGATTTGGCCCACAACCTGGGCATGTGCCACACCCAGGAATTGAACTGGTGACCTCTTAATGCATGGGTCAATGCTCAACCACTGAGCCACACTGGCCTGGTCAATTTTCCTCATGTCTCTCACCAAATGTTTTAATCCACAAACCTGTGGAGTGCCTCCTGTGTGCAGGTAGTCAGCTTGGTGATGTAGGTAGTCATGGTCTCTGGCTTTCCTGGAGCTATGCTCCTTCTGACAAAATAGAAAACAAGAAACAGACAAATTAATTACAAATTGTGTTTGGAGAATAAAGTCAAATTAAGAGCTCTAATGGAGTTGGTTTTTTTTTCCTTCCTTCATTAACTTCCTGATTGACATTTAGGTGAATGTGGTGATATATATGTGGAAAATATTTAACACCACCAGGTTAGCCCTGTGAAGACATAAAGGAAAAATTTTGAATACAAAGTAAAGTAAAGCCTCACAGCTAAATTATCCCCTAGATTTCCTCCTGGCATCCACTCATGTTTAGGACAAAGGAGTGAGGAGGCCAAAGACCATAAATGAAAACTCTAGACTCGTCAGTGTTTTTGATTATCCATATAAAATAATGCATGCAGCACTAAAAACATTTAATGACTAGAATGAACACTGAGAATATAACCTTTTCTATCCAAAATATCCATCCTTTGATCTCAGGCTCTTCTTCATGTTCTCAGTGCTATCTTCATTCATTCCTGCCAAACACATTTGATATTGAAACCCTCTGAAAGAATGTGGCTCACAGCTCCATGGGTGCAATTATTGTGACATGTGCCTTCCATTCTCATCCAGTAGAAATTGTATGTTGTCAAGAATGATTGGTTTATTACTGCCTTTGTGCTTGATTTTCTCATTATTCATTATTTTCTTTGTCAAACAGACCCACACTCTTCTTCACACAATCACCCAGTCCTGTCTCTCAGTAAGAAAAATCACTGATGGCTCCCAACAGCCCACTGTGGAAACGTGTAACCATAGCCCTTTGCAAAAATGGCTACTGAGAAACTATACAAGAGTGGAAGTTTTTAGAAATATTTTTGAGAATTCTACTGATTACATTCTCTAATAATTTTTGGAGGTTTGTGTTGCAGACTTTATTAATGTTAGTTTAGTATTTTTGTTATTGAAATATAGAAACTTCTTTAAGATGTGGTTAAGAAAGATCTTTAGGTGCTATTTCTCCATGGTGTTATTTTTCTGTCTTTTACTTCTTAGCTGCTCATTAACTGTGCATATAAAAGTAGTGTTTAGTATATAATTAAAGTAGGTATTTTCTAGTTTTACTTATATTTATGCATAAATATAATTGATGGAATGTATTATGACATATTAGCTCTTTTTTTAGACCAACTATAGCCATGTCTATATGATAATAGATTTTGCTTTCTTTAGAGCTGAAAAAAATCAATAAGAAAAATTAACATAGCCAAAATATTGTTTTCTTTTGGAACATTGAAATTATTTAATTTTGTTTATTTTAATTCATATACTTTGGTTGTGTGGAGATATAGCATATCCTTTCTGGAATTTATTACTTTAAGCTGAACCTTTAAGCAAGTGCATTATTGAAGATAATGATATAATTATTATTATGTTAAATTATATAATTATAATAATAAACCTTTTTAAAAAATTGTACCTTTTATCTTTCACTTTTGTGATTTGCGAATATCTTCTCAGTGACCAATAAAATGAATCATTATTCAGTTTAAGTTTTAAGAAACATGGTATGGAACTCTTGCAAAGAGTGCAGTTAAAAACATGTCTAGTTCTTTATCTTCAGGTGTTTATTGCCTTGTAAATAAAGTATAACACATTTTTCAATACCTTGCTATGAGAACACATGGGAAGTTAAGAATTTCTTCTGGTTCAGGTGAACCAGTTAGAGGTCGTTAGTAGAGGACATACTGAGCTTGGAATGCCCACGGCAAGGCTGAGAATAGAGGTAAGGAGGAGAGGGGAGAAGGGTGTTGTTCAGGTTAGAGCTACACTTGAGACGAGAGTGCTCTAAACAGGTGTTGGAAAGCTGGAAACGTCTGGACCTTCTACACAGTGAGAATGTGTGTACAGGGCAATTTACATATATTATCTTCTTTGTTTTTAAAGCAACCTGAACTGGTAGGTACAGTGCCCAACACAGGTCTTCTCAAACTTAATTGTACATTTAGTCTCCTGGTCGGGGCAGAATTCTAGGGCCGACACCACAACTTGTATCTCTGAGCAGAGTTTGCATCACTTCCATAGCCATTCATACTCCTTAATGGGAGCTGGCTTCTCTGCAGGGGACATCCCTGTGCAAGCGGATGAGAGTCACATCAGGTGGGCGTGGAAAACAACCTGGAATAATAGCCTCACAGGAGACAATGTCTTTGTAACACCACAGGCAGACTTCAAGACTTGGCACTTGGGAAGCCCACAGTTTGGCTTCCTATCAGGTATTTATAGTGAAGTTGATTTGATGCTGGTACAGTTATCAATCAGAGGCCATTTTTACCATAAGTGATTTTGCCTAGAAACATAGTTAACATTTTGCCCTTATTAGGTGGCCAAAGGATCCCAGTTAGATAATTCACTGAAAGTCAAATTTTTTAAGCAGAAAATAAAAGACATTTTTAAGTATTCAGAAGTTTAACTGAGCATTTTCTAACAAAGAATCTGATTGCTAAGATTAATTTCAAAACTTGTCCAAGTTTTCATAGCCAGTAAGTGGGGCACGGGGGTGGGGAATTTACATTTAGGGCAGTCTGATCCTAAAATGTCTATTTCTACTGCACAACGTTAAAAATGAGAGGGTATTTATTTATTTATTTTTGGTTGGTTGTTTTCTTTACAGTTGTGGGTTTTAACTAATGAATTCCTTCAAAGAAAATATTTATACATTTTTAGAAAAAACACTAATATTTAAAAATTATCCCTATTTATGTGGCTGACATCACATATTAATTTTGATCCTTAAAATCATATACATTTTTAAAAGCAAGAATAAGTAACTTTTTTGAAAAAAAAAAAGACATACATACACACACGACCTCAGGTATGTAACAAAATGAGGAGTATTTTGTTGATTTGGATTAGAGTTTGGTAAAGAAAATTGTTTCTGTTTTGTTTTGATTATTTTTCAAGTTGGCTGTTGGTTCATAAGCCAACAACGTGATTTCTGGCATCATAAGCATAAATCAACTACCTTCTTGCTTGTCTTTGGCCATTTTTTTCTCCATTCTTTAGTGTAAATAGCTTGATTCTGTGTCTGGAAAGAGCAACAACAAAGGATTCAGTCTTGAAATCTTCTTCACATCTGACAACTTTGCTCTTTTTAATTTCCTGTTTGGTGTCGATTAAGCATCCTCCACCAGGAGCCTATTCCCATGTCATCCTTTCTCAGGACAGTGCGGTCCAGGTTGTTTGAAGGCCCCATCCAAACAAATTACAATCGTCTACACAGTGTTTCTCTACCACTTTTATTGTATTCCCCTTGCATTTTTCCATCCAACTTTCAATTGTAATATTATAAGCCCAAAAAATGGTCTACCTTTAATGTTGGTGATTTGAAACAAAAGTATATGGTGTGGTTTTTTTCAAGATATATCCACAAATTACCTCCCATGTATCCAAACACTTCTCTTCTGGTTGAGGACTTTTTTTCTGCAGTATGGTTCTAGGCATTGCCCATGAAACTGAGCAAAATGTACATAATTAGTGTGCATAAATTAGTATAAAGCCTGTGGACTTAAAATGTCTATCTGTAAAGTTCAAAATATGTCATTTAAACATGTAAATGTAACTCGAAAGAGAAGATGTATAATGACTGGTTAACATGATGCAGTTTTGGGAATTACGTTTCAGCATGTGGGTACTGAGATGATGAGTATTAATGAACATTATTATTATGAAGAAAATAAAATATAAATATAAGTTTAAAAATATACGACCATCACATCCCTGTTTTTATTTGTATTGATTTTTTAAAGATTCTCAGAAATGCAAACCAAATTATCGTGAGCATGCTATCAAGTAAGACAGATCTTTGCTCTGATAATCTGTCTAATACAATGAATTCCTCAGTCACAGCTACTGTGGCCTGTCTAGTATTTGGAAATGAGAACATCTCTAGCAGTTATTTCACTTGGGTCACAGCTGTGACATCTCTTTGCGTGTTTACCAAATGTTTCCTGAATAACACATGCCTAAGAAAACTAAGCTTTTGTGAAAGCTTGTTAATATTGGCAGCTCTCGACTGAACTCAGAGCTCACAAATTGGCTTTCGACAAAGGAACCCAGACCCTTGGCAATGCATAATATGTGTGGGCTACTTTCCTTAACCATCTGCAAACAAAGGTGTATTAGACAATGATGAAACCACAACAGGGCACGTTGTATAATCATCGTTCAAGCCACCTGTGCTCAGTTCCATATCAAAGTGTTTATACTTAAAAAAAAAATCATAAAGGTTTTTTTAAAAGAGCAGATTTAATCTAATGTGCTAGTGAAGTTAAAGATAAAACATGTTGCACTGATTATTGGTTATCTTTTCCAGAGACTCACCTTGAGACATGTGAATAGTAACCAGTGTCTCGATGAACCTTCAGAAGAAGACAAAATGGTGCCTACCATGCAGGACTGTAGTGGAAGCAGGTCCCAGCAGTGGCTGCTAAGAAACATGACTTTGGGGGCATGAAGACCGTTTGCCCCAAGCCATTCAAGTGTCTACACTTTTGTTTTTCCATTGTTTCAATTAAAAAAAAATATTAACTTTGCTGAATTGAAAGTTTTAAAATCCTTTTAGTATTCTAAAACACAGTTGTTTATAATTCATTTTTAGGAATGTTTGCTTATTTCCCTACAAAAATTTGTATCTGATCAAAAGCACATAAAATATATAAATAACAGCAAACTGTTATTAAACATCTGAAAAATTTAAAAAACAAAGTGTTTGCCTTTAAAATTTTTTTATTGCCCTCATGTTACAGGATTAGTTGGGATGAGGGGGCATGTTTTTATTTTTTATTTTCATAGTGATTGAAAGAGATGATGTATATGCCTTATTAAATATCTTCATTATGAAATAGTATAATTTTGTAAACTCACTCTGTTTCTACTGGGCCTTCATGGAAACATGTTGAATTTCTCTGTCAACAGCAGGCCACACACTGAATTATTTCTGAGCAATGAATTCATCATACAAATAAGTTCCGAGTTTTGTACAGAAAAAAATTAAACTGCATATTGACTTTCAGAATTCTTATAAAAGCATCACATTTAAACAAAAAAAGAAAAGAAAGAAGAATTTGAAAATTCAATTTAAAGGTCATGAAATCAGAAGAAACAATGTAGGTGTTGAAGGTAGCAAGATGAGTGAGGTTAAACTGCAACAATGGAATCATTTTAAAGGATTGTTTAGGTTGCAATCAGTCCTTACTGAGGCCGCGTGTTTAACAATCATATTGGTTCTGAGCTGAAGTTGCAAACTCAATCCTTAACCAATGTCTTTGTCTCACAATAACCATACAGTCTTTCTCTTCACTCTCCATACTGGGACTTGTTACTTATGCTGTACAGAACTGTAGGTAAAGGGTGGAGAGTATTCGCCCTGGTTTTTAATTCTCCTGTATGTAAAGATTTTAGTTAGGTCACCATTACCGTTTTAATTTTATAATTTAAAAAAGAATGTATTGCTATCAGAATTTCAGTGCTATGCTAGAATATTTAAAGTTTGCATCACCAGGGGAATGAACAGTACATATCCATGAAACGTTTGTTTAATTAAACTGTTAGATCTCATTTGCTGTAAGGTTTGACTTAGGGAGCACAGTCATAATTAGGCTTCACACATTCTGTTTCCATTTGTGTTCACAATGCATGAGCCCTTTGTGTTCACAATGCATGAGCAGAAGGCACAAAAAGAAGAAAATTCTATCAGTGAGAACTGAGCTAATAACTTTTAGTATGTCACACCTTTAAAATGCAGCCGATGTGGCTCACCGGTTGAGCATCCACCCATGCACCAAGAGGTCCCCGGTACAGGTTGTGGGCCCAATGCCCAGTGGGGGGCATGCAGGAGACAGCTGATCGATGTTCTCTTTTATTGATGTTTCTATCTCTCCCTCTCTAAAATCAATAAAGAAAATAAAATGCCCTTAAAGTTGCTCCACATATGCATTTCATTCCTTAATAAATACATTCAGCAGCTAAGAGAAATTTGGGAGAAGAAATGGAAGCATCCCCTAGAGTAGATGCAATATCTTTGCTTCTTATCTTTCCTTTAAAAGCTCTGTTTCTTAAGTTATAAGCAAAATCTCTCTCTCTCTCTCTCTCTCTCTCTCTCTCTCTCTCACACACACACACACACACACACACACACACACACACACATACACACACACACACACGCACTGCTCACACGCACTGCTTTATAATGAAAAGGAAGACCAGTAAAATCTTGTATGACTTTTCCTGCTACCATTAGCATTGGCTTTATACTGGTAGAACTGTAGGGAAGAATTCTACAACCTGGAGCATTTTGGGTTTACTTTTTCAAGTGTAAATATTCTTCACCTCAAGGTCTCTGGGTGTCCCCGAATCTCTTAAAATTATAAGTTCTAGTGTTGGGCATTTTTTTTTTAGTAGAGAATTCACTGTTTACAGCAAATGTATAAGGAAGCTGTGACACACAGAGGGCTAACGAGCCACTGCCTTAAATAGACAGTGGCCTCACAAGTCAACTGAGGACCCTCCTTTCCTCTTGTCCTGTCTAAATTACAGTAAAAATGTCCCTGCACAAGTGTCCTTAAACTTAAAAAGCTGAAACACTCAAGGACTCCTTAATACAATCTGTTCCACGTAGTATGGATTTGTCAATCAAAATACATGTGTTATCTAGAAAATGGTCAAAGACAATTTTTAAAAAGAGGGCTACTCTATCAAAACCAAATTTGACACATTTCAACAGTATTTTAAATATCTGAAAGTTCACTATGGTCTTTGCAAAAATACAGGAAAAAATAAAAACTGCATGAGTTTTATGCCAGAGAAGAATTTTCAAAGAATCCTCAGATGGTGTGAGCATATGCTATTAGAGTGTCTAACAAATAACAACAAAAATGACATAAAATATTATAAAACACCAAAAACTAGAAAGCAATAATCTAATTCAATTTTCTTTTGAAAAATAGTTATTGTATTCAGTACAGAAAATTAAAATTCTGATTGGATTCCCAATGCATTCATCTTATACTTTATCACCATTGGAGCTAGACTAATAGATTTTTAAATGACTTCAAATATTCTCTTCTGAGATCACCCCCATTGTAGTTAAGGCCAACTCCAGTCTTCCAGAGGCTCAGATAAAAAACCTGAAGTCAGTTTTGACTCCTCTCTTTCTCTCTCAACTTCCATCTAATCCATCAGAAATTTCCTTGATTCTAAACCAACTACTTACCACCACCATCTTCTGTGCCTCTAGCTCTCACCTTTTCAACTGCGATATGCTTTTATGATTTGGTTCCCTAATTTTCCAGCCCTTGCTCCTGAATAGCCTTCTCTTCATACAGCAGCTGCCGGGATCTGTTAAGCAATAATTTGATCGTGTCACCTCTGTGCCCACAACCTTCCATTGACTTCTCATGTATCCCAAACTTCTTACAGCGGTCTTCATGGTCCTTCACAAATGACACCCTCATGGGCGCACGCGCGTGCACACACACACACACACACACACACACATACGCGTGTGCACACACGTTCTGAGTACCTACTTCATTCTAGCTGCAAGCAAGTTTCTTTCTTAGGTTTTTGTTGCCTTTGCCCTACAGAGCTCTCTCACTTACTTTCTTTGTTACTCAAATTGTATCTCATCAGTAAGGCAAACCCTTTCCCCTCCTGCCCTTTCTATCCCCTATTCCTTCTCTGACAAACTATAAATTTGCTTCTCTATTTTCTGTCCACCTTTCCATCCCCAACATCATCATCACACACCCTAGCATCTCAGGTTTTTTACTGTTATTCCCAGTATCTAGTAGAATTCTTGGCACATAACAAGTCTTCAAATATTTTTTTGAATTAACTAAGAAAATGTGCGTTAAAGTTGCTAAGTGCTACTGTATCTTCTCTCCTGTGCAGTGTTTAAAAATTGTAAATAAAGTCTAGTAATATATTTAGACAGGATTATATAACTGTCCCCAAATATTCTTCAAATTAAAGGATGGGCTATATTTTATTCTCTATGACAGAATAACCTGTCTAATGGAAATGAAACATATGACATTTTTTTTTAATACGCTGCTACATTATATAAGTTACTTCATTAAGATAAAAAAATATTTTTGGTTGTGTTTAGTGGCCACCTGATGACATAAGTAAGATTTTTATTTTTAGAGGGGAGACATATCATTTTCTTAAAATTGATGTGTATTTTGTGAATTCACAGGAGCTATTTCTAAATTTGTTTTCTAAGTGCAAGTCCTATGAACAGTTGCACAAACTTAAAAAAAAACAACAACTTTATAGATGATTTATTCTTAGTTTCTCCATTTCTAGATAGTAAGACTGAGACCCAGATATGAATTTCAGCCCTCCCGAAGGTCACACAGCCTGTGTCAGGACTCATCATGCCCAATGTAACCTTACACCCTCTTCAATTTCAAAGCACTCAAAAAACTAACAGAAAGGGCACAATCATGAGAAAAATGTCTTTATTAACCATTTTTCCATAAGTACATTGATCTTTAGAAATACTAACTTCTTTAGATTTTTTTTAGCAATAACTAACTTTGGAAATTTAATTTCTCCCTACCATTTACACTTAAATAAAATTAGTTCTATGAAATAATACCACAGGCAATAAATAAAGACCTACAGTAAAAATTAAGAAACTAACAGGAAAGAGCCTGATTACAGAACATTCTAGCAGTATTGGGCAAACGGTGTTTCAGAGAAGCAAAGCCTCTTTAGCAGAGCACACGCTCCCCTCACTTATACTTCCTTATTGTTATGTCCAAATTAAAAGTAAGATTCACCTACAGCTTGCATTGAGGATTAGACCATCTATTACTATGAACATTGGGTAGGTTGCAGGTTAATTGGCTTAAAACACTGCAGGGTAATTCGCAAAGATTTCTAGGCTTCCCCCTGGAGCTCTGTAGACTGATAAACACAACCCATATATTAAATTTTTCCATGGTGCTTAGAAACCCGGTGTGGCTCAGTTGGTTGGAGCATCATATGGTACAGCAAATGTTTCAGGTTTGATTCCCGGTCAGGACACATGCTCAGGTTGTGGGTTTGATCCCATGCGGGAGGCAGACAATCAATGTTTTTCATTGTCTCTCCCTTCTTTTCTCTCTAAAATCAATAAAGAAAAAAAGTAACACATAATGGAGTACTATGCAGCTGTAAGAAAGAAAGAGCTCTTATCTTTTGAGAAGACTTGGAGGGACCTGGAAAGTATTATCCTAAGCAAAACAAGCCAAGCAGAGAAAGACAAGTATCATATGATCTCACTTATTTGTGGAATATAATGAACATAACAGTCTGAAGAGCAGGGTAGTCCCAGAGATGTGGAAGTGGGGTACAGACTGACAATCCCCAGAAGAGGGGATGGAGATAACCCACAGAACTTATATGCATGTATGCATGGACAATGGACATGGACAACAAAGCTGGGGACAAGATGGGGAGGGTGGGGGAGGAGGGTGACAATGGGGGGGGGAAAGGAGAAACATTTGTAACAAAAATAAATAAATAAATAAAATTTAAAAATAAAAATAAATTATGATTTAAAAAAAGAAAAAAGAAAAAAGAAGCAGCCTAATAAATAGGAAAAAAAAAAGTAAAGAGAAAGGGAGAAAAAATAACTCTAACAATAAAACCACAGAAATGATTTTACTTTTTTAGTTTTATTTTTTGTTGAGAGGTTGAGAGCATAGTACAAATTGATTTAATTAACCTCAAAATATCGGCTACTCCTCCTTACACTGCTCTCATCACTTGAGAAATGATGGCCTTGTCTGATCACAGCCATGTTGCATCTCCTTGATAGATGCTACAAGCAGAACTTGTATGCAGCCTTAAGTTATAAAATACACTAACTTAACAAATATGAAGAATTTAAGAAATTCAAGATCTTAAATGATGCGTCATCAACCACAAGGTGTCTTTCTCCATAGCTGATATATGCAAACCTTGAATAAATTTTCAATTCAGTTGAGCAGCAAAAATTTAACTAAGGCTTAAAGCAGCTGTGTTTCAGGATTTAGCCCCAACTCACCATTTTTTTTTTCCAATGTCAAAAATATGGAATAAAGAAAAGTAGTCACTCTTCTGTATAACACATGAACATATCTGGTTTGACTACATCAGGTTCAAATTGCTATTAAATATAAGGTATTGTGTAGATTTGAGGTGTTGAATGAACATCAGCAATGTGTT